TCCTGGCAGTTTACCCCCGGTGTGGGCTGATTGATCTAAAGTTTACAGAATGCACAGCAATGCCAGAGACAACGTCCAAACAACAGAGTCACGTGCTGATCTCTGCCTTTACCTCCACCCCCCAATGTTCATGCAAATCCATGCATGATAAGTAACGTCACTCAGCCGTGTCAGGAGCACCTGCAGCACCAGGACAGGAACATATATGTCTGCATGCAGGCATGTTTGCAGGAAGTTGCTCATTTCATTATCATGTTGACGTCAAGGGGGCCTTTCCATTTTACCCATTTATACAACTGGATACAACAGCCGTGATCATCTCATTCATCCATCCTCCCAATTACAAAGCCGTGATAATCACCTTGGTTTGTGCACAGCTGTGATTAGGGCCCTATGAAATCCATCTTATTTGTTCTGAAATGCAGTTTCATTTTTCCCAAATTTGGTTTCTTATATATATATATATATATATATATATATATATATATAAATAAAATGTTGATGTATTTTGGATTTTAAGTTTATATAAAATGAACCAGAAGTCTCATAGTCTTCAGTGTCTATTGCCTTCATCCATTCCGGTCTCCTTAAAGTCTCATTTTTTTCAGTTCAGCAGCTTCTAAAAACTCTTTAGCTTGTTGGTAGTGCAATCCCCCATATAGTGGCTTTTAGGCATGCTTACACTTACCAGCTAATCCATGTCAGGGAAGAGTCCCGTTAAGGTACTTCAGGTTTTACAAACTACTTTAAAACCAAAAGGCTCCTGTGCTTGGCTAAATAGTTCAGTTCTTCTTGTGCTGTGACTCATCCAGCTGTTTCACATTAACATTAGTGGCACATGCATGATTATAGGAGACTGACCAATCAGAACACAGCAAGAAGAACTCAGGGCTTAAGTGAAATCCAGGTCTTTTTTGATTTAATTGGTAGCTTACAGATCCTGTGCTAGTTGGCAGTGTCCCCCCCTGACACGGATTCGGTGGTAACCCTATGCATACAAGTTAGCACCCATAGTTACAAGTCTAAAATATTTGTAATAATATTTAGGTCATCTGTGGGTGGATCAATTAATATAAAATTTATGCACATAAATTTAAGCATATAAAGCAGGTCGGGTATCATTTTGTCTTTACGGATACAGTCAACCCTTCTGCATTGCAACTTTCCCCATTCCGCAGTATTTAATATATCCCGGGGTCAGCATAAGGAATTAACTGGAAAAGTTTTTGGGAGTTTTGCGAAAGCTACAGACGACACGCAAAGGCTTTCAGGCAACACGAAAAAGTTTAGTTTCTCATAAATGCATAAAATATAGGTACAGTGCTGGTTTGGAGGATGCCAAGTATGTTTACGGCAGTCTGTCACATGTCATTTCGCATTGGTCTTTGTATCCCGCATTTCTCGTATCTTTTTCGCTTCGCTTCACTCCGTTCACCAAGGGGACCAAAACATTTTATGCAGTTTTTCCAGATCCTGGGGGGCTGTGTCCCTAACCCTCGCGATGTGGAAGGGTTGACCTAGCGGTTCGAGTCGCGGTCAGGTTGAATGGCAGCTTCGGGCGAGTTCCGGTCGCTTGTGGATGGACCCGCACATCACTGGTTCCTACATGGAGCCACAGAAGGCTGAATAGGGGGCCGTTTCTCTAAGCCACCTGGGAAGTGCCCTGAGTTCTTGCAGGGGAAATGAGCCCTTTGATTACTAGGCAGCATCCTTGCACTAATTTGGCCAATTTTGACCTCCCATTAAAAAGTCTCTGTCTATGCCTACTGTGCCCGTGTTTTACACTATCTGGACAATAGCAAAGTGTGAAAAAATTCGTAGGTTTAAAAGGTCAACAAGATATCCACAAATTTCGTCAGTTTCCGCATTTATAAGTAAATACTGTTTCCATTTCTCAGTTCCGTGATTCCGTCTGCATTTTACGCATCACAGAAATCACAGGCCCTCATATGATCATCCCATTCATATTTGCACAGCTGTAGTGATCACAGTCATATGCAGCCAGCCATGACCATCCCATTCATATTCACACAGCTATGACCATCCCATTCATATTCACACAGCTATGACCATCCCATTCATATTCACACAGCTATGACCATCCCATTCATATTCACACAGCTATGACCATCCCATTCATATTCAC